TGTGAAGAGGCGGTGATATTTTGATTTTTCGGTGATTCGGTGAAGGGTTGACGATGAAGAGAAGAGGCATACCGCACACCAGGTAGCAACTTTTTTCAAGTGGGTATTTAGGGTTTCACACTTTCACTTTCAAACTTTGATAACTTGGGTGAGTGAGTTGGGTCCCTCGTGAGTTTGATTACTGATTAGTTGAAATGTTGAATGGATTTGGCCTTTGGGTACGCATAACTTGTGTATAATTTCAATTATATATATATAATATACGGGGCAAGGACGGGGCAAGGCAAAACCAATCCCGACCCCGGCCTGTCCCCAAATTCGGGGACCAATATTGGGCCCGATCCTGGCCTGAAGCCCGAAAAATTCAAGAAAAATCTACCCCGTTCGGGGCGGGTTGGGACGGATCCTCGCGGGGCCGGGCTTTGTGCCCATCCCTATTGGGGATGAACGGTCTGTCGTAACGACGAGTGCGCATTAACTGGAAGAAGGATGAACTGGTTTTTTTAGTGCAAAAACTCTGTTTTTCTCTCTGAAGATTCAAGTTCTGTGAAAATCATGAAGTGGCCTTCGGTTTTATAAGGAAGAAGGCGATGTTTGGTTTCCTTTGCAAGCGACGTTTGAGCGAGACACGTTCCTAGCTGTTGGATGCGACCATGTGTCACCAATCCTCATGAAGAGTAACCTTCACGCTTCGTGAAGATTAATCGATGTTTCCCTCTGTTGGAGACACCAAACATCAGCATGGTTATCTTCACCACATTAAATGCGCCATTATTCGCATTTAATGCTTTAAAAGAGAATGTCGTTTCAGCATGACTTACATTTAATGCTCATGGCTGACACTTATTGCGCAAAGACATGTCTGTCAAATAAATCTTACTTTATTGACTAGGCCAGTTGTTAAGCGCAACGGATAACATCTGAAGAGGTCGTTCGAATGAAATACTCTTCTTCGTGTATTGAGCTCGAAGCGAAGTGACTTCCGATTTTCGGTGAAAATATTCTAAGTGTTTTCAGGTTGTGAGCGATGGGCAAAATTCGAAGCCTGTTGGTATAACATTGGGCATGATCTGAACCTAAGTCGCTGAACCTTTAAGGGATGACATCTCAGGTCACTTGTGCAGTTCGCCAAGCCTCACGTTGCGACCTCCACTCAGTTGTTTGTTCGAGTAAAATTGTGAACTTCATGTTATTTCAACCGTTCTCCACTTGCAGTTCAAGCAAGCGATCCTCGGGATGAGTCAAATCATGGCATAATCATGAAGTTCTCAAAGTTTAAGCTTTGAACCTTAAGAACTAGGGGGCTTCTGTTATGCCTAAAAAATCAAGGCTTACGTCAACGAGGACCAATTAAAGTTTAGGAAGACATTGTGTCGTCCAAGCACTGCCACATTGTCCAAGGACAGAAGGAGTAAGACTATCATCAGCTTGACACGTAAAGGCCTGCGCGAGTGAGTGGCTGGGAGTCACCCATCTACCTAAGCCCTATGCGATTTAAGGATATCTTCCATGCAACCAGCCAATGGGAAGCAAGGTAGGAACTGTACGGCACCTGCCTGCTGACAAACCCATAATCATAACCTAGAAACCTCTTACTATAAATAGAGAGCTCCCCTCTCATTTTTAGGGATTCTGATTCTGATAACAAAAACACTCACTCTCCCTCTATGTATTTATATTTCTCTGATCGCTACTTGTGACCTGATTGTAACCTTTCATTTATAAAAAAGACAGTGAACGTAGGATTCGCTTTGAGTATCCGAACCACTTTAAAAATCATCTTCCATTTTATTTCCTTTCATTTCCATTTTACGTGTAATTCTTAAGTCACCTTAATGCTTTGCATGTGCGAATAGTTGGTGTCAAAATCCAACATCAACAGATTCATATCTAACCATGATTTTTACGATAAAAAACTCTATAAATATCCAAGTAATAGCACCTTAGTTTATGAGTTAAATAACTATTCTAACTCAACCAATTACAACTACAACTGTCATTATAACATTTTCTACTCAATATTCTAAAAACATTTTGCATTTCATTATTTATACTAATAATATTAATACCTTAATTTGGCTTAAAAGAAAATAAAATCTAAATGCACATGGTTTTTTTTTCCATTCAACTAACCGAATTCCCCACAAAGTCTAAACACAAATATAGACTACGGGCCAACTAGAGCCACACAAAACAAACCCTATGATCATCTCCTCCTTACCTATTTATATTAGATCACGTGCATCACGGAACCGTAAAATGAGAAGAGTCAAATGGAGAGCTGGAATGGAATTACCTTTTCGCCCTTTTCCATAATAAATAGTCTTGCGTATATAAGTCTTATACGCGTACGGCATACGAATACGGTGTATCCAATACAGAAGAAAAGGAGAGAAGAGGAAAGAGGATATCCGTAGCCTCAATCACAAGTATATATAATATACTGATCACATCCCCACATGGCCACGTGAAGTTTTCTTGCGCTGGTGACCCTTCTTCAAGTGTGGGTCCCTTCTCCGTCGGTTGTACCTACTTGTTATGCCAACTCAACCATACTCGGTTGGGGCTTCTTGTCCCCTCTTTGCTTTCATCATCTTTTTATATTTTTCTTTTACATCAAAACTTTTTTTTTTTTTCTTAAAATAAGAGGACGTAAATCCAGTAGTTAATTTATTTTTCTAAAAGATTATTATTTTTATTTTTATAAAAATAGGGACACTCGTACAAACTGCCGAGCAGGTATGGTCAGCATTCTCCATCAGATGATATATACATATAGATCTTTTAAAGCATATGCTAAAAAAATAAAGATAAAAAATTTAATTTATCAACTAATCATAACGAGGAGGAAAATTGCAATACTACTAAAGTCAACGACAAGATTTTTCCTTTTTACTCAAGATTTAATTGTAAAAAAATTTCGTTTTAACTAAGAGTAATGTATGTTTTATCTACAATAATGAAGAAATTATAGTGATTAAAGAAAATGGATTATTTTATTTTAGGATGTTAAATAGGAAACTCATGGTGGTGATTGTAGAACAACAAGGGCATTAAGTCATAATGTTTCTAAATGTAATACTATTCATTGTAAATGTTTAATGAATAACACTATTCATTGGTGTCATCTTGGTTGTTGTTGCGACCCAAATATTCAGCCCAAAACATTCAATAAAGAATCCTCCTCCCCGCAGGCCACAACTCAGATCCCATCGACAAAAATAAAGAAATTAGTCATTTCCTTATCCCATATAAAAGCATAATTCCAATGAAGATTCTTGTTAATAATCCAGTAATCACACTGTATATCTAGAACAAAATTCGTCTTGGTGTACAGCCTGCTATTGGACATTTATTATTTATATATGGGTAAATTGTGAAATATAATTAAAGGGATCACAGTTAAGAGTTACTTTGGCGCTACCATTATCTTACTTACCTTCATTAAATTCTCTTTGACCATCTTTACTCTAGCAAGACAAGCATGACTCTTGATCCTTTTGATAAGACCGGCTATTACACTTGGATGTGGCATGAAAAATGGTCATAATCAAATATCATTCTGTTAATTATATGTTCCTGTTTGGTTTGTTACGAGTGATTTGATAGAATTTCAATTTGTTATGTTCAAATAATAACTGGGGGCCTATGCATGAGCACTTCTGGGATATCTATCACTTTTGTTATTGTCGACAAGAAGATAGTAACTTTGGGCCGTAGTTTGGGCCTCTATGATCTCAATTGTATTGACATAATCCAGCCCCTCATTTCCATATCATCAAACAACTCTAATGAGTATCCTACTTCTACCATCAGTACCATGCAACAACGTGTTACTCTTATTCAGTACTTCTAGAAGCAACATAAAAGTCTAACATATCAGATACTAATTTAATATATGATACTACTTATCAATAAAAAAGGGCAATTATCATATTGATTTGAGACCTTTTCAGAACCTTAATCTATACATAATAATGATAGTTTTGATACATATGAATATGCCTCCTACTCTTCGACTAAGCAAATAATATAACACACAAATCAATAATTAAAAGATTCATCTTTTAACTTAATTATGAATTTCTCTTGGATTAAGTTATGACAATGAATACTAAAATAATAATATTTCGCTTATAACTAAATCATACAAATAAATAAAATTTATGTAAAATAATTAATCTACCTTTTATTTTTTGTTTGTTTGTATGACTTTTTTATATAATTCAATTATAAATATGTTATTATTCATACTAAAATTTATAAACAGGATATAACTAACAGGGTGACTCGATGATAAAAGACGAAAAAAAAATTAATTTCTGAATTTAAATCTCTCAAGGGTGCCTACAAAGTCTCTTATCCGAAGACCCTAAAAAATTAGATGAGGTGCAGCGCAAGTTGGCCCGATATCTAATGTGAACGGAAAAAAAAAAAAAAAACAAAAAAACGTCTGTTTACCTTGTATGATTCCACCACAGTCCAAAGTTGATGAAAAGAGAAATGCCCTTAATAGGGCCAATAGATTACGGGTCCTATAATGTTTTTTTCACAAAAGTGTCAGCATTTGATTGGTTGAGTTTATTCCCTGAAATGTCCCACGCGGAGCAGCTGGATCCCTGCCGACGCAATACCACGTCACTTACCCCACTACTTCAAACAACTTACAAGTTTCTATTCTGCACTCAATCTCATTAACTATTTCCTCGTGGTAACATATGGTTGGTTAAGATAAACCGAAGTAAAAATCCCTTATCAACCTTCCAACCTATAAGATTACGCCAACAGTCAAGGTCTCATTCACTGTGGCCTTCTCGTAATTATGGCGAATTACCCGGGCTAATCTAACCAACAAAATTATCTGCCGAAATAGTTATTAGTTATTTTACTCACACTTGTGTCAACGGACGCCAAACAGAATTCAAATACAGCTGAATTTTTATTATGTTTTTATAAGTTGAGTAAATTCATTCTCAATAATTTGTGTGTGTGTTGGTGGTAGTATAATTGTTTATTTACTAGTCTTTTCTTCTCTCCAATCATTTCATTTTTTCTCAGATATTTTATTTTCTTTTTATTTTCTCATGGTTTCCGGCGAGAGAAAAGGAAGTAGAGGAGTAGAAGAAATAAATTTCTCAGCTTCTACGAAACTATTTCTTTTATTTATCTATCTTTAGTCTTTACTTATAAATTATATTATCTTTGATCAAGACAAAACTTTGTTTGAATTTTGCCAAACAAACATCTCATCATCTTTAATGGACTCTCTTTAACTACTACTATCTTTTCATTTCTTGTTCTCTCCTAAAAGGTACACACTCTCTCTTTATTATCATTTTTTAATTATTATTGTTCTGTTTTGATCAGTTAAAGTGATTTTTTGATGAAGTAGTGGATGATGTTGTAATTTTACTAATTTCAAGACTTTGGAATTGTGTTGACATGCCGTTAAGTGGGTTCTTTGTGCTAAATGAGTTGGTTGTTTTGTTATAATCATGTTTTCGTTATGTTTGATGTTTTGTTGTATGGTTTGATCATTCATGAATGAGGATGTTGATTGTTGACTTTGTTGCTACTGTTACTAGTTCGGCTTGATTTTGATGAGCTGTGTAATTTTGGTACTACTTTTGCTTGTTTACCGGTTTCTTGATGTTTGTTATTTTGTATCCAGTTAGGTCTCTGCTTGACGTTGAGTATTTGTTTGCTTGATTATGTAGAAAATATGTGTCTGTGTGTATACTGGAGAGAGAGAAAGGTACATTTTATGAGATAATATAGAAATAGTATCAAGTGAGAAATTAGTCTTGATTCACAAGGAATGATAAGGTTGGGGCTGAGTTTGCTCACCAATCAGAATATAATAATTTTGTAATTTGTTATATTGAGGTATTTGCAATAGGGATATGCAATGAGAAACGGTATAAAGAATTTCATAAGAATTTCTAGAAAAGAAAAATAAATAAAGATTGTGGCAATCGATTGACAATAAAGCTGTATCATCTAAGGATTACCATCAGGAGCGTGTAATCAATTCATCAGGACGTTCACTGTGGGCTACAGGATTGGGCCTTTAGACCATATTTACAGTCACTTTGGTCATTTTGAGAATTAGTGCATGCACTTGAATTTGGTATTTCAATAGCTGTATTGTCATTCACATCTTTGCTGAGTACATTTGTCTTCATACTCTTCAATGCTTATTGATTTATATCTGAGTTCTGAATGGCTTTCTAATCCTGAATAAAGTTTGGTACAATAGAAAACTTGGGAATATTATAATAGCTTAATTTCCAGCTTTCTTTTGCTTACCTTTTGTTGCAGAAAGAGATTTAATGGAACAACATTTAAAGGATTCAGTATCAGGTCATTCTGGAGGTACCTTCTCTTTCTCTCTATCCCTCTAACGTAGATAAGTAAAAGCATTTATCCATATACGTGTTTTTGCTTGGGGAGATCTTGAGTGGTCATTCACATTGTTTTGTAGGTTCATTCAATATACCATCATTGCCTATTCCTAGAAAGGCAGGAAGTGGTGTGTGGGGGATCCCAAGTGGAAGAGATGCATTTCTTGCATCAAATGATGCAAGCTTGTTTTCTAGCTCTTTGCCCGTCCTTCCTCATGAGAAATGTATGTGTGAGCTCTTCTTACTAGATGTAATAGATCCCTCCCCCTTAAAATGATTTTTGAGACCTTCTTATGCAAACATGCAGTGAACTTTGCTGATCCAGAGGATCATAGTAGACTTGTTGATGATAGCTCGCCAAATTTAAACAAGATTGACATAGAAAGTGGCGTGAAGGATCCACTTGAAGGTGTTGAACCAAATGCTGATGGAACTTTGCTTCCTGATGAAGACGAGCTTCTTGCTGGCATAACGGATGATTTTGATCTTAGTGGGTTGCCTAGCCAATTGGAGGATTTAGAAGATTATGATCTGTTTGGCAGTGGAGGGGGGATGGAGTTGGACTTCGAACCTCAAGAGAGCCTTAGGTTTGAGATATCAAAGCTTAACATATCTGACGGGGTTGCTGGAAATGGAATTGCTCACTATCCTCTCTCTAATGGTGTGGCAACTGTGGCTGGGGAACATCCATATGGCGAGCATCCTTCAAGAACACTATTTGTTCGAAATATCAATAGCAATGTTGAGGACACTGAATTGAGGTCCCTTTTTGAGGTATTTCATAATGTGTATTGAATTTTATACCAAATTTAAAGCTTTGGACATCAATTTTGTGTAAAGATTTATTGGAAGTGACCCTTTTGCTTTTTGGGTTTGATTGAGGAAGTTTATGGATGTGATTTGGCAGTTTTATTTCAAAGTCGTTCTTCCACTTATGGGGGAAAATTGTTTTTGAACTTTAATGGCTAGTTTAAGTGCTTCTTGATTGTTTTTCTTGTAGCAATATGGGGATATCAGAACTTTATACACTGCATGCAAACATCGGGGTTTTGTAATGATATCTTACTATGATATCCGAGCTGCTCGGACTGCAATGCGTGCATTACAAAATAAGCCCTTAAGACGAAGAAAACTGGATATTCATTTTTCAATTCCTAAGGTTTGAATGAGGATATCTCATCATAGGATTGAGTTTGGACTGTCGATTCCACCAACATCTTATTCATGCATTATTTTCATTGCTAAATTCCAGGATAATCCCTCAGAAAAGGATATAAATCAGGGGACTCTTGTGGTGTTTAATTTGGATTCTTCAGTATCCAACGATGACCTGCGTCAAATTTTTGGGGCATATGGGGAGTAAAGAGGTATATGTTTGAGAACTTTTTTTTTTTTTCTTTTTTTTTTTTTTTTTACCTCTTGGCATCCGGTTTCTATGTCTTGCTTTCTATGCTGATATGTTGTAAGTTCTTTTGTGTGTAAACTACAGATCAGAGAAACACCACACAAGAGACACCATAAATTCATTGAGTTTTATGATGTTAGAGCTGCTGAGGCAGCCCTCAGAGCATTGAATAGGAGTGACATAGCTGGGAAACGCATAAAGCTTGAACCTAGCCGCCCTGGTGGAGCACGTCGAAAGTAAGTGTTGGTTTGCTCATTTAAGTATTGTCTTTATAACTCTAACTTCAAGGTACCGTTTTATATCATTTGCTAGGAATTCTTGCATTCTATCTTTCAATATAAGAAGGACAAGAAAAAAATTGTGTGGGTTACATGATGGATTGATTGATAAGGAGAGCTTTGTGTTATTTTAAAGCATATGTCTTTGGTTTCACTATCCCTCCAGAAAGACTGCCGAAATTTTTGGCGGTGTAGCAGTGGCTCAAAACAATGGTGACTGTAGTTTTTTATATGCTTCCTGAAACACTGACGTTCCACCTGAATTTCTGTAATATTATTAATCGATATGACTCTTTCCAAACTTCAAAACTTTTCATGTGAATCAGTTACAGCGGCTATCATAAATATTCTGAAGACTTTTTTCTTTTTTCAAAAAAGAATCCGGAGATATGATCCTTCTGTCTAGAGTATATTTCCAATAGACTACATGGTTATATTAGCCTTATTACTATATTTCTTTTCAATGTCTCTTGATTAAGCTGTAAGATGAAATTGAATAATTAGAGGTACTTTTTATGTTTAGTCTGATGCAGCAGCTAAGTCAGGAGCTGGAACAAGACGAAGCCCGAGGTTTTCGGCATCAAGTAGGCTCTCCGCTGACCAACTCTCCTCCAGGTAAAGAGCCTGGTACTCTGGTTTCCTGAGATGTCAACTGTCTATATATCTTATTGGTTCCTTTTGGAAATGTACTTTTGATTTATTAGCTGATTCTGTACCACATCATGACAGGTAACTGGGCACAATTTGGTAGCCCAGTTGAACATAATTCTTTGCATAGTTTTAGTAAGTCTCCTGTTCTGGGAACAATGAATCCTATAAATGGTAACCATTTGCCTGGGTTGGCATCAATTCTCCCACCTCATTTGTCTAACTCTGGAAAGATTGCTCCAATTGGCAAGGACCAAGGAAGGGCCAATCACACAAACCAGATATTTAGTAACACTGCACCAGTGCAAGGAGCACCCTTTCAGCATTCTCAATCCTTTCCTGAACAGAAGTTGAGTGCAAGTCCTGGGCCTATATCTCCTTTTGGTGAATCAAATTCAAATTCTTCAGGTGTTGGAACTTTGTCTGGTCCTCAGTTTTTATGGGGAAGTCCCACTCCTTACTCTGAGCGCTCCAGCTCTTCTGCTTGGCCGACATCACCAGTGGGGCACCCATTTTCATCTAGTGGACAGGGACAGGGCTTTCCATACGGTCGGCATGGATCATTTATTGGTTCACATCATCATCATCATGTGGGATCTGCTCCTTCTGGTGTGACCCTTGATAGACATTTTGGCTTTTTCCCAGAGTCACCAGATACATCCTTTGTGAACCCAATTACATTTGGGGGCATGGGTGTAAATCACAATAACGGAAGTTATGTAATGAACGTTGGGAGTCGTGTTGGTGGCCTTCCTGGAAATGTGACTGAAAATGGTTCTCCTAGTCTTCGAATGATGTCATTGCCAAGGCATGGTCCTGTGTTCCTTGGAAATGGTTCCTATCCTGGACCTGCAACAGCAAGTAATGAGGGATTGACTGAACGTGGTCGGAGTAGGCGAGTTGACGGTAGTGCAAGCCAGATTGATAGCAAGAAGCAGTATCAGCTTGATTTGGACAAAATCATTAGTGGGGAAGATACTAGGACTACTTTAATGATTAAAAACATTCCTAATAAGTAAGAAAAAAAAATGAATATCCTTATAACATAATTGTGATGCTTGTAGGTTCTTATTGAGATGGCTAATTGCTTGATTATTTTTACTTGGCTTCCTTTTAGGTATACTTCAAAGATGTTGCTGGCTGCCATTGATGAGAATCACTGTGGTACTTATGATTTTCTCTATTTGCCAATTGATTTTAAGGTACTTCAAATTTGAGGAATTTCTGAAATTTTGTTATATTACTTCTTCAAATTGAATTTCTGCTGATGATTAAAAGCTATCTGTTTGCAGAATAAGTGCAACGTGGGTTACGCTTTCATCAATATGGTCTCTCCTTCACGCATCATATCCTTCTATGAGGTTCGATATCTGGCCCCCTTATTATTGTTTCAAACATATGTCTGATCAGTGATTCATGTGTTATTATAAATCATCTAATCCATAGAAATCTGAATAAGTTGGTTTTGTAGGGGATTATTGTGTATCCGAGTTTTTGTACTATGAGAGAAGATTATTTGTATCAAATTAATTATATCAGACTGGCTGGCCAAAATTTTATACTATATATATTGCCAAAGTGAACCTCAGGACTTTAAGTCAACTCAGAACTGACATGATGGAAATCTTGTGCAGGCTTTTAATGGGAAGAAATGGGAGAAGTTCAACAGTGAGAAAGTTGCATCACTGGCATATGCCCGAATCCAGGGCAAGGCTGCCCTTGTAACACACTTTCAAAACTCAAGCCTAATGAATGAAGACAAAAGATGCAGGCCAATTCTCTTCCACTCAGAGGGCCAAGAGACAGTTGATCAGGTAAATTTTAAGTTCTCTTTTCTTTTATGTTAGTACTTTTGCTCCATGAGTTGAATTTTTTTTCCTATTACTTACTTTATTGGTGCAGTTTCTCCAATATAAGTATACAAAAATCTGTATTAGATTGGTTGATTATTAGCTTCTATATTTGGTTACTTATTTTGTTATATTTTTGCATCAAAAACATGTTCTTTGATGCAAAAATACAGTCCAGTGAGAGGGCTTAATGACAAAAAGGATAGTGGAAGAGAGAGAGAGAGAGAGGGAGAGAGAGAGAGAGAGAGAGAGAGAGAGAGAGAGAGAGAGTTTGGTGCCATATCATGGACAAGAAGGGAAGTGGATGGGGAGAGAGTGTGTGTTGGTCCCGAATATGAACAAAATAATAGTAAAGTGGATGGGGAGAGTGGGAGAGCATTGGTCCCGAATATGAGCAAAATAATAGTAAAGTGGATGGGGAGAGTGGGAGAGCGTTGGTCCCGAATATGAGGATAAAAAGGAAAGTGGAGAGAGAGTTGGAGATGTAGAGATTATTTCGTAGGAAGCTTTTGTCATCTGCTTTCAATTTAATTGTTTTCTACCCTTGTTTATATATCAAATTAGAGACTTTTTAGTTAGGCCCAAATTCCTCTTTATTAGTTAGCCAGGTCAGTGTGTTCATGTAAGTGGTCAAGTCCTCGTATAATAATATTATTTTGAAACAGAAACAAAATAATCGTGGAAGAATGACAAATATCATTTTCGTAATTAGCCAGGCCTTTAAATATGATGTGTTAAAAGAAATTTGATGTAAACGAGATGAGAATATTGGAGGGGTTCAATACATATGCTTTTTCATAAATCATGTTAGAGGGATTGAATATAAAGTGGCTTGAATTCTACTCTAGAGCTTTGCCTGAACATATGAAAATTCCCTTGTTAAGTAGTTAATCCAAATGTTGACTCATTTCAGAACATGAATGTGAACTTATTAAAGTGCTTGCAAAATTAAGTAGAAGTTGAGATTTTCTTCTTGAAGTTGTCTTCTAGACACCATAAAATCAGTTACTGACTCTGCACCTTTTTGGATCCTCCAGGAACCCTTCCTTTCTGGCAATTTGAACATCTTTATTCGTCAACCAGATGGGTCTTATGCTGGCGATTCCTTGGAAAGTTTAAAGGGCAATCTGGATGAGAAGCCTGAGAAGATTTAACAGAGCATTGGAATTCTTACTCTGGGCCAGAAGTAATAGTGGCTTAGAGTGCTGACTGTTTCATAGGTAATTAAGTGTACAAAGTTGGAAGAGAAACCAAGTGTATATTATGGTTGGCATTATGTGCAGTGTCCGCTTTTCAGTCATGGACACTCCATATACTCACTAAAAAGCAGAGAGCATTTTGTTAATATTTAGATCAACTAATTGTTATTGAACCAGGAGAGAGGAATAAGGTGGAAGCATATTGCTGGGAAGTGAAGGAGTTGCTCAGCGATTTGTGGATTATCGCTCTTCCTAGGTTTCATCTGTTTAGGTTTTCTTTTGTATTTAGAGTCCATTTGCAAATATCATCACATGTTTATATCAGTAAATGTCTATTGGGGGGGTGTAGGGTTAAGTGGTGTTTACAAAATTGTATAGGGTGAAAAGACGCCGCACTGTGTTGATTATTTAGTTAAGAAAACTTGTATTTCACGAGATAAAAGGTTTGTACAGATATTCCATTACTTTATCATTGACACAACTATTACTCTCCTTTATGCAGAATACTTTAATTAGTAATAATCTATGATAATATATGTAATGAAATAGAATAGGATGGTTGTGATTTGCGTCTATTCTGGAAAGCGTTGCCCTTCTTTTCTTTCTTTTTTTGATTAAATTGTTGATCTGTCATAACATAAATTTATTTTCATGAATGTCAGAAAATAACTGAAAAGATTACGGAGGGGAATATTAATTAACTATTTTCTTTATTTTTTTCTTCAAGTTTCATAGAAAAAGGTTCTTTTTTTTGTTTCCTCTTTTGAATAGTATAATAATTTGGTTGTGTGTTTGAATGGAGGGTGAAGTTGCCGGGTTGTTAGGGGAGATCTTGGAGCAGAGTGGTGATGGATGGGGTTGATGTGCAGTGTGGTATTGGGTTGGCTTCACAGCGAAAGCTGGGCGTTATGCAGAGATAGGTGGGGGATAGGGCAGGACCTTTTTAATTTTTTATATTAATTAAAATGTGTTTTAAGAATAATTAAGGTAAAAAGGATCTTTTGAAAAAAAAAAAAAAAAAAAATTAGTTTAGGGGAAGACTCTAAGAAAACATAATAAGGGTAAAAGGGAGATTTTGTCATTCTGCTGGTATCGGGTTATCAAATTAGTTAACTATAAGAAACGGCAGAGGGTTTAAATTGTTATTAGGGAAAAACTTCAGGGTGCAAGGAGTGTTCCCATTACGTATGGGAAAAGATATGAGTTTCAACTTTCAAGTTCGTAATGTCCTCAAGTCTTAGTAATTTAGAGTCCTTCAATCTGACACAACAAAAGATTCAAGATCAAATATGTACTTTAGGGAACGATCATCCCAACTTGCAGAGAGTTATCAGAGTTTTATCTCTTTTAAGTAATAATTAGATAGATAACCTTCAAGCAGTAGTTAATTGTTATTTAACTCATGTCTTCTGATATGAAGCATGAAAATGACTCATAAAATTACAATCATCCCCCAAAAATATACATACTATCACCAGACCTGAACCCAAGAATCTCAAAAGTTGATTCCATGCCATAAAGCATATCTTCAAATTTGTAGAGCATCAGCAATTGATCCAGCAAGACTCAGAACTTCGAAAGGAGCCTTGTTAGCTATGGCTTTGACAGTATTTGGGCAGGAATCTGTGATCCAAAAGTAGGAAAATGCACTCTCTGGATTTTCTGAAAACAAAATCAACTAGCAATAAGATCATAGAAGTTAAAAGGGAGATAATACGGATAAGAACATGAGGTAATTACCATAATTCTTGAGAGTAAAACGCTCCCAAGAGCCCTTCGGAAACACACCATGTGTGACATAAGCGCTCACCTTTGCTGCACCATGAGCCGCCAATACTTTCTAATATATCCAAGAGCAAAGAAGGAATAAAAGACAGTCTTTCAGATACATAATTAATAACACAATGGCTCCGTTTCATGACGGGCCAATCACCTTGAACATTAAATAAATGTTATTAATTTCAAAATCTTGATCAAAATGAATTGTTATTTAGACTTGATAGGATTTGTCCTACACAGGTTCAATTAGAATGAAGACATAACATAATTATCCTACCAACTGATAACTGAGGAGATTCGGGAGTTATTAATAAAATTAATAATTCAGAATTCATAAATTAGGTGATGAAGTCAGTATATCAAACAAAACAGAAGTTTGTAAGTATATTGGGGATAAGAAAGATGACAGATGGGTAACGCTGTAAGAAACCCATTACTAATAAGAAGCATAGATTGCCATTTAGGAATGCATGAATAAATATACTCACTGAAGAAGTTGGGATTGACATTTCAAATAAATTTGAAGAGCTTTTCTGGAGTCATAAGGGCAATAATTTATTTATTTATTTATTTTTTAACTCAGAAGTACGAGATTCAATATGTAGTCTTTAAGAGGCAATAACTACCTGGCACTCAATAAGTGTTCCTCCAGATTGCACCAAATCATCCACAATGACCACATGAAAACCAGCAGGATTCCCTTCCTTGATCCGAACTATCCTCTTATCACCTTCACGAACCTTTGCACAAACCACCTGCAACTCAACAAGATCAAATATCCCTGATAACACAAGACATGGAGTATAAGTACAATATTCGAATTCATTTGAGAAAAGTCTAAACCAACCATGGGGAAATGATCCAGCTGCTTGTGGAATCGTTTCCAAGCTCCATCATCCGGAAATGCAACAACAATCTGAATTACATTGAAGAAATATTACGGCTACTGCAAAGTACAAGTCCCAGTGCCATACCAAACCTTAAAAGAAATCTATAATAAAAACAACAATAATAAAAATAGATATAACAATGAAAATCCTTCAGTGATAATGAGAAAGATAGCAATACCACTATCAACATGAACATCATATTTTACAAAGACAGTCAGCAGTAAGTGTATACTCACCTTGTCAGCATCAGGGAGCTGGTCAAGACGCTGCTTTAGCAGAGGGATCCCTGTCTCAAACAGTGGCAAGACATGGTCCCCGAAATAAAACCTTTCCTGCATAAGGAAAACTAAGACAAAGAATCAAGACTTCTTACAAAAGGTAAAAATTTAGAGAGTGGTTAAGAAAGAAAGTCATAGATAAATTTAGACATGTTTTGCAACCTTCCATTTTGTTAAAAGTTGACAGGCATCTCAACTACCAGTAATAATAATGGGTAAATTGAACAATATATCATGCACGTATATTAGAGAAAGACAATTCCGTATTGATTAGAGAAAACAAGAACATAATTTTAGTGATAAGACCAGGAGATTTACTTGCTGCTCCCACCCTGAACCTTTAAATCAACAAATCAAAACATAAGAAGGAGACATCACCACAAAAGCAGTAAATAATTTAATTGTTTTCATTGCAAGCAAAACTAACCTGCAAAGCATGTATATCATATATTACTAAACTAGTAGGGCCACCCCTTGAAATGGGAATATTTGACAATATCCTAGCCATGGTAAATGCAGTTGCCACATCTCCTTCTTCCTCCATTCGCTCGAAGGAGCCAGTTGGAAAGAAAGGCAACACCAATGTAAAGGAAGCAACAAACAGCCGCGGGAGTGCATATATGACAGATATCTGTTCGAAGACAACTCCTGGGGAGCTGAAAGAGGCAAGAAAGGCGACATGTTGACCTCGGATATCATGTGCGCTATTTATATAAAGGTTTGGCCATCCATCAGCAAAGTTCCTGACACATGCATAAATAGAGTTTTATGATTTCTCCCTCAATCATAAGAATACTCATCAGTAACATAATTTGACAATGTATTCTAGAACACAAGCCAAACTGAATTGCAATTGCCCTTTAACTCAAAATATACTTGCATATCATTAAAAATTAAACCAACAAATGTGTTTAAATTGGAAATTTTCTAGCCCCCAAGGGAATGCAAGAGATTAGAAATTCATAAATTAAAGCCCCAAGATTATCAAAGTTTTCAGTTGGGATAAAAGTTCAATAACCAAGGAATTTGGTTATAGAATTACAGAGCAGCAACATTAAGCTGAAAAATTTAAGCAGCAACCCAAACAAAGGAATGGTTTTATTAAATTTAGAAAGAAACTGGAAAAAATAGCCAACGCATGTGACTTTGAGCCCAGCAAAATTTCATCAATCAAGACAACTCAAAATCACATTGGAAGAAGACAAGCTGCAAAAGAGCAATGTTTCTTAATTCGAAAAATTTAATTTATAACCTTTTATTACACAAGCTATTAGTTCGAGCAAGCAAATTTTTATCTTTCCTACAAGGATATATTTTCTTCTAAATTACCCATTTTTTATTGTTAGCACTTCATATTCCCTTCCTCAGAACAATTCAAAATGCCTTTTTTTCCTCCCTTTCTGGGTTCTATTCACCATACCAGTAAACGCACGAGAAGAATTGAAATAAGGAAAAAAAAAAAAAAAAGTGTCAGGCCTCTCATATTCATGGAAGTGAAGCAACAAATAAGCAATACAAAGTTGTGAAAGAGATATAGAGCTAGTATTAGAACCTCCAGTTGATGGACTGAAGGGTAATATTGTCAGAGTGAGCGGCGACTTTGCGGGCAAGGTCTTCGCATTCGACGCAATAAAAGAGATGAACTTGCTTCTTGGGTGAGAGTGGCTGCGCTTCTCCGTTTTGCCCCATTATTATTGTTTTAGCTTTTGCTCTGATGCAAGAGGAGGGTTTTAGTGGAGGAGTGTAATTATAGTCATATTTATATTATATTTAGATCATTAGATGTGATAAAAGTTTTTACAACTCAACTCGAACAAAGTGTCTTCTTTAACGGGGGACGTATCTGGCGGGTTGGTCTGGTCTGGTCCGGTCTATAATCAAACTTGTTTAACAAAGCAGGCGTGTTCCATCATCCATGCACTATTGACGTTATCTCCATGGCATCTTAGCATTAATTCATTAAAATATACTTAAAAATATTAATTTTCTTTAAATATAAAAAAAAAAAACATGGTAAATGTTTTAAACAAGAGAATAAAATTGCAACATTTAATTATAAACGTCCAATATTTGAATGCCACGAGTAAAGAAGTGCATGTATTTAGTCCATTCAATCGATAACTCCCGTTCTTAAAGTAGAATATGGCAGGTCATTGATTGAATGGCAACGAAACGATTATAAGGTTTACAGAGCAAAAGAATCTACCTGGGAATTTCTTGTTAATTATTCTCGATGGGCCCTTTAAATAACTTTTCTCTTATTACCAATTATCCAAACGACATCAATGGATCCAGCCCAAGTCGGTGGTTAACCATCTCACAGCTTCTATTGTGGAGTAAAAGAATTGGGTATACTACATATAAACATATGTAATAAAGTCAAGTTTTATCATACTCAAAATACTTTCCAATTTTCATATCATTCATGACGATTCTAATTAAGGAGACATCCTTTTCTAATAATTTATATATCATTGTGACTTAAACCCAACTATTTTATTCTCAAAATTATGTGTAATTTATACCCACATTAATTATTTTAAACTCATCATCCTTTTGTTCTCTGTTTGTTTTCTTGGTAATTACTTATTGACAACCCTAAATAGGTTATTTATTTTGTGATAGCTTTTTTGTCTATATTTTTAGATGGTAGGTCGAAGCCTAATCTTAATTGGTCCGTTTGTTTTGCAACATGGATTATCGTGAATATAAGTAAAACAATATTGGTCTTAGTTTATTTTGATTGCATATTGTCACATAAATTTTGAGTAATGACACATAAATTGCATGATTCAACTAAATGGTTGAGTTGGTCGATGCATATGATATATTTTCACAAACCATTACTTGATTATCCTCATGGTTAATGTACCACGGAACCTCGTTCATGCTCCTGCACTAACTGTTATTTATACAAAATAATTTAATCATACAATTACTGTCCCATGCAAAGAATATGCATGATAATCATACATTCATATCAAAATGATTGAAAATGTTCACCAACCCATTAATGAGAAGTGCATGATCTCAACTGCCAACATAATCTAACTATGCCTTTAATTACACAGATTCTATAATTAACAGTATTACGTTACTAATAAATTAAGCTGTATTCTTTGGCTCTAAGTAGAATCAAAAGTCTAATTGGACAACCCTTTAACAAATTCTAATCACCATGATTAACCAAGGCATCGGGAGAGAACACAACAAGGTCAAACTGAAACAAAAGTCAACCCTGTCTGTAATTTACCGATGAGATTTGACCAGAATCAAATTTAAAATTATTAAAAAAGTCAAATCGATCAGATGGTATGGGTTATCTAACTTCACGTTGCTTCTTTTATGTTTTAAAATGAATTGAAAATTGAAACCCCATTAATAAGAGGTCGAGGGATGTTCATCTCATCTGCATTTCCAGCCTGTTGATATTCTAAAATTTTATGCACACATTCCAATGTAAAATGAAATTTGTTGGGTGAGAAAAAGAGGCTAAAATTTTCAAACAACGATACACAGCTTATAAAGGCGGTCACCAACACCAACAATCTAACCTAACTATTGTATTTGTAGGTTACTGAGGAAGAAAAAGGACTGTAGAAGCATATGCATGTTCATGTTATGCTTTTGAAAATAATAATACAAGTGAGTAATCAAAGGAAGAATTTTTTTTTTTTTTTTAACAGTGCGCAATTAATTCTAGCGGTGTGGCTTACCAAATGCACTGGTCAACTTCCCACAAAACCCTTTAATGACTACTATAAATATTTTCTGCTTCTCTTCATCTTCTTCACAAGCCTGAGCCCTCTCTTTATTCTTTCTCTCTCTCTTTCATTTTCAGACTCTATTAGTCTTCTTTTCTATTGTTATAACATCATTGAGACAGGAAGAAAAAGCTAAGAAAGCCATGATATTCCCAGTATCAGTTATTGTAAAACTAGCGGACTGGCTCTTGTACCGGCTTCTGGCTAACTCATGTTATAGGGCTGCAAGGAAGATGAGAAGCTATGGGTTCTTTTTGAGGAACCTATCTTCTAAGTCATCAGACTCATATCTGCAGCAACCTCCTTTGTTTCCTAGTGTGACCAAGTGTGATTTAGAAAATAGAGGTTTTGATACATTGGTTTGTGACATAAATGGAGTCTTGTTACGATCCCAATCTTTTTTTCCTTATTTTATGCTAGTTGCTTTTGAAGGCGGTAGCATCTTTAGAGCATTTTTGTTGCTTTTGTCAAGTATTTTCTTGTGGGTTTTTGACTATGAGCTCCAGTTAAGGGTTATGATTTTCATTTCCTTTTGTGGCCTTAAAGTAAAATATATGGAAAATGTGAGTAGGGCTGTTTTGCCTAAGTTTTACCTTGAAAATCTCAATGTTCATGCTTATGAGGTTTTGGCTTCAGCTGGGACTAGGGTTGTCTTTACAAGTGTACCTAGAGTGATGGTAGAGGGCTTTCTTAAGGATTATTTGAGAGTTGATGGTGTTCTCGGAACTGAGTTGCAGTCTGTTGGGGACTACTTTACCGGTTTAGTATCTGGGTCTGGTTTGGTTGTAAAGCATAGAGCTCTTAAAGAGTATTTCCGAGACAAAAAACCTGCAATCGGCCTTGGAAGTTCAAGTCTTCATGACCGCAATTTCGTCTCCCTTTGCGAGGTATTCTTAAAACCACCACTCTCAAATTTCTTATGTGGTACTTGTAAATTCTATTATATCGGAGGGACATGGAGCAACTTGGGAAGTTTTCTAGATATACCGTAAAATTATAAATTGTTTTTTTCCATTTCGGGTAAAGTTACACCTAACAATTGAATTGAGCAACCAGACCTTCCGCCTCAATTTTTTTCCCTTTTTTCCAAAGTTTGGGCAATAATTACTGCATGTTTAGATCACTTTCCCAAGCAAGATCCAAAACGGCTAAACCCTTCTATTTCTTTTTAATATTTTTGGTATATGGTACTTTTACAGTAAATAACTCCAACAGAAATCTGCGAATTTCGGTAATTTAGACAAGGTTTCTTGTTACAGTTTCAAAGAAAATTCCTTTTCATTATAGTGAATTGATTACTTTCTAAATGACCCTGTAGTTTTGCTGCCTAACAAAGTATTTGTTCCTTGTACGTGATTGGTACAGGAAGCTTATGTGGTGAACAACGAAGATAACAAGAACAGTACTGCATCTTCAATAATGCCAAAGAACAAGTACCCAAAGCCTCTGATATTCCATGATGGAAGGCTAGCATTCTTGCCCACTCCATTTGCAACTCTTTTCATGTTCATGTGGCTTCCACTTGGAATAGTTCTAGCCATCTTTAGAATCTTAGTGGGTATTGTCTTTCCTTATAAGTTAGCCATCTTGTTGGGCACTTTGAGCGGTGTGAGAATCACGGTCAAAGGGTTCAACTCTTCATCAAATGCGGATCATAGAAACGGAGTCCTATATGTATGCACTCATAGGACCCTTTTGGATCCAGTTTTCCTCAGCACAACTTTAGGTAAGCCTTTGACTGCAGTTACATATAGTCTAAGCAGAATGTCTGATATTATAGCCCCAATTAGAACGGTGAGGTTAACGAGAGACAGAAAAAAAGACGGAGAAACAATGCAGAAATTGCTTAGCGAAGGGGATTTGGTGGTGTGCCCTGAAGGAACCACATGTAGAGAGCCTTACTTGTTAAGGTTTAGCTCATTGTTTGCAGAGTTAGCTGATGAGATTGTCCCTGTAGCGATGAACACACATGTAGGCATGTTCTATGGTACAACTGCTAGTGGATTGAAATGCCTGGATCCAATCTTCTTCTTTATGAACCCTAGACCAAGCTATTGCGTTCATATTCTCAGGAAGGTGCCCAAGGAGTTCACGTGTTCTGGAGGGAAATCTAGTCACGAAGTGGCAAATTATATTCAAAGACAACTGGCCGATGCTTTGGGATTTGAGTGCACTACTCTTACGAGGAGGGATAAGTACTTGATGCTAGCAGGGAATGAAGGGTTTGTCCATGATAAGGAGAAGGGGATTCTAGCTACTTAAACAAATTAAGACCTAAATTATTAACTATATTTCTATTCTTTTCTTATTCTTTTTTCCCTCTTGCAGCAGCCATATTTTTTTTAAGCCTATAGATCGTCATTAATTATTATTTTTTCTTACATCTGCTTGTACTTGTGAGATCATTATCTGTTATTATATATAACATTTGTTAGTTGCAGAAGATGTCATGTAATGTAACACTGAGAGTACCCTTTAGTATGTATATAAAGTACTATTTTAAAATTTAACCATACTGAATAAACCTCATCAACTAATTAACTCATGATTGTTCCAATATATGACTCAGTGTTTCTATTATTAGCTTACTGCATGAACAGAAAACTTCAACAGATTCCATGATATATAGTATAAATTCCATCCGTTACCAATAGCCTAATCGCAAAAGATAAATGATATATCGTGTATATGCCTTTATGTTCACTGTAAACTTGTTACTGCGGCCACCTTCCGTTTACACTAGAATACATGTTAGGGAGTGGGGAGGGGTAAAATTTGGGATATGCCAGCCTTAATTTATCTAGTAGTACCATTCAGAAGGCAAATCCATCATTTTGTCAAAGTCATAAATGTCTTATGAATTAATTTAGATAAGTTGTCGTCAAGTAATTAATGCTTTTGTTCCTGGTTTAATGCTTAGAAGTCACGAACTGCAAACGCCTCAAATACATATATAGCTTCTTTGACTTTATTACTCCTTGAAAAAAAAAAAAAACAGAAGATCTTCCAAACTCATGATGCATGCATACTATATACATGATTCAATCACTTTGTCTTTGCATGTGATAAAGCACAACGCTTTTCGGCTGAACTAACTCGTCTGTTATCAATTTCCTATGGATGAGAAGCAAACATCGTGCAAGAGAGTTGACTAATACAGTGTATAGATTTTTCTGCCTACACTAAATATATGTAACATGATCTTTGATAATTAATAAGTAAGTATGGGAATCTATTAAATGTTGAATAGTCGTCTTCTTTAATTTAGTTACATCTCTCATGCTGCTGGGAGCTGCGTATATATCCTTTTCCACATTCATAGAAATGCGTGCATGTGCTGATTTCTTCATGGGATGGCCCCTGCACTTGCAATGAATGGTGCCAATAAATGCAACCATCAAGCGATTATATATTTTTTTAATTTCAATACTGCTGTTGAAAACACACCCATTGGTTTAGCTGATCGGTGGTATGCTAGCTAGCTTCTACTGCATTTCTATCCATTGCAATAGTTAAATGATCGTCTTGCCATTACATAAATTACGTACACGTTATACCTCCAGCTAGAAGAAGATTCTTTGCACTAAAATTTAGCCTCTGTGATGAAAATTATGAGTGTGCGGGTCTTTTTTCAAGAGCCATGTATAGTAATATAGTATAGCTGTAACACCAGAAGCATTTAATCAATCTATGTGTTGATTTTGACTTGGAGTACTTTTATGTTAATACGCGATGAGAAAAGGAGCAATGCCATCCCTGCTTTCCATATATGGTCATTAACTGATTTACTTATTGTGAATTTATGGATCTTTCATGTGCTCATGCCATTACTTATGAAACCAAATTGGGCAATCGAAAAGGGAAGGATGAGTCCCACACTTGCTTATACAAGAAACTAAATTGAAGAAGGAATAACAACGTAGCTAATCAAGCAAGGCAAACATAACCACAATTTGGACCACAGAATTCATCAACATCAAAGGATCATTGAAGTTTCTAGCTGGTTGGGACCAACGGTTGCCCTCTACCCCTAGATGTACGTGTTCAGTGAACTATAAGATTACCCATATTCATATTCTTCCAATCAGAGTTCGTGGTCCATGTGTTTACTTCTTGTTGAAGACTAGTATTTTTGCTTGGTTGATTTGTCTTCATTATCTTTTTATAACAAGAATCTATCAGCTAATGCCCCTTTCTACGCACAAATAAAAGAATGGCTTCACAAGATATTGCCCACCATTGGATTTGGATGTGCTTGAAGAATATATTATTCTTGATTTTAATTATAATCACTCTTGAATAATTTGTATCGTTTACGGTAAGGCATTAAATATCTGATTGGGAGATGATCTACCTTGTTGAATCGGTAATCAGTGTCTTCAATGGTCAAACTTGGAAAAATATAAGTTCGAGAAGCTTGTTAAGAGTTATTAACGTGTTTGAATGAGATAGTGAGAAGACAATTAAACATTGGATTGAAGTACACTGTACATCCAGTTCAAACAAATGGGGTCTCAAAAATCAGGTGGAGTTTCGGCCCAACTAGTTTTTATTGGGTCAAGAACTAACTACGTAGAGTGATGATGTTAAATTGGGCCAGAAGCGTTCTCATTTTTGGTCAACCTTTTTAGGCTTTGCGTATCACGTTTTGTTTCCAGCTTCGGCCCAAGCCTTTCACCATTACTTCTTATGTGTAATTACTAATAAATTTCAAGGGTGAAACTATTATAGAACAAAATCTTGCTATAAATTAATAACACATATTCTTTCCTTGATTTGATGTAATTCAATGATTTAAAAATAATTACTTTTAATGTTTATCTTAATTGTTTTGAATAAAAAACTTACAAATATTTGGATTTGAGAACAATACATGGCTGGTCCTACTACCGTTATTATTGCAAACAAAATATTGATCTGGAAGTAAGATGGAGCAGAATAACAAATCATTGAACATGCATCATTCATGGCCTAAACTAACCTTATACTAATAAATATAAATGTACCCAAAAATATCCATATCACATAATGATATTGATACTATTGCCATACATAATCTTGTTACTAATATCTACATTATGCTTTTCACAATCTTACCCAATCAATTCATAACTTAATTGCATTCCCCTTCTCTCTTTTAATTTTACTAATCACAAGAAAGAAGACCTAATTTTGTTAATAAAAATTAGCAAATTTTGTTAATCACAGAATGATATTGATACTATTGCCATACATAATTTTGTTTTTTTTATAAGAATCACAGTAATACTTAGCTTCCATTCCTAACGCATCATTCACCGTTGCAATATCCCATCCTTCTCTCATTGCTTGATTAAGCCGTTGGATGAATCCATTATTATGCTCCTCACAATAATCCAAAAAATCTGCCACAACCTTAGGGTCCTTGTCATCCCAGCAAACATGACTGAATTCTGGCAACTCACCAGCGCCCACGAACTTTTTCCGTTGACTCATTCCGGCCAACATGGTTATATACTCCACCAACCCATCCATGAGCCGTGCTGGGGCCCTGGACTCCCCGTCCCAAAGCCATGTTCGAGCCATGCCACGTTGTAATGCTGAGATCATTGCAGAATTCACATTTGCATATCCCATTATTGAAGGGCTTAGGTTGATGACAAACTCATCGGTTTTGCTTGTGTCGACGGTGACGATTTGGCTCAGGTTCTTGGCAGTTAGCCGGAGAGTGACACGGTGAACTTGCTTCTTGCTGTGGTTGGTATCTGAATAAAGAATGTTCTCAGCAAAGGCACTTGTGTTTAGGAGAATTCTTGTGGCTTTGTCGTTTGATATGTAAAGAAGCTCGAAGGGTTTGCCTGCAAGAGAGTCTTTGGAGTCATTGACAATGATTACATCGAATCCTTTTGAAGCTTCGTAGTTTGCCCATATGGAAATTATACCGATAAAGAAAACTGAAAGCAACCGGGAAATGATAGAATTATTTGAAGATAAAATCTTTATATTGTCAGCATCAACATTACTGATGTAACCGGTGGTGGTAGTGTTGCTGAAGGCGGTGGAGGTGGTGGGAGTGGCAGATAAGAGGGGTAGGAAGAGATGGTGGTCATGTTCTTCCATAAAGGAGCTGAAGGAAGAGAGGTAGTGTGGATAAAAGGAATAATAATAAAGCACAATGAGTGATAGCAAGCATAAGGGCCCTCAACATTGCCTATAGTTTATTATGTACAAAATGCGACTTGCATACTGCCAAACAACAATTATTTGCAATTTTCCTTGAAGCTATATGAATATTGTTTGAGTAGTGCTTATGTATTTGCAATATAGCGAAACTTGGGGAGAAATGGATGGTAATTTTGATCACATGGCTCTTTGGAAGTATCACGTGGAGACATGGTGTTTTATGACTTCATGTGACAATTTTGATTATGGTCTCTTGTATGCTTACTGTAATTATACAAAGACGAATGGATCATGCCTTCATTCACATACATTCTCATGCGATCCAACTTTAAGCTTCATGGATTGATTTATTATTCAAGCAAGCTACTATGTTCACCTGATCTAAATTTTCGACTCTAAGATGAACACCATATTTGATCAATTAACACTAGGCTGTCAGTTCATCCCTAACATCTACGGAATATAAAACTTTATTAATTATAGTAAATAGATTATAATTTGATATCATAAAAGCTAGTACGATTTTCAAGATTTGAAGTGGGACGGTTGATTTTCTGTTAATTTTTTAAAATGGGTGATTAAAGTCAAAAGGTACCTTTCTACATTGTGTGATTTGATATATCCAGCAAATGAAATGATGAGATGAGCTGGGGGTTTGAAAAAAAAAAATGGCCCACTCTGGGCCTTTCCCATTTGAATCAGGGTCTAAGTCCAACCAAGAGCCCAATTCTGGAAAATGTAAAAGTAGAAAAGCTAACTACTCTCATCATTAACAAAACAGTCCAGAAGCCATAAATGTTATTTATGTTCAACACTATAAAAGAAAAAAAAGAAAAAGAATGATTCCTAACAGTACAAAACTCATCACATTGCTCTCTGACCTTGTCTATGTGATGTGATATCTCCACAACTGTTGAATTCATAGTGTAAAATTATGCGATTGGTCAAGCAGCTTAACCAATTTCCTCATTTCTACATCAAATCAATACAGCAGTAACCGCATATTGGACATTATCTTCTTGTCTCAAGTCAATCAGCATGTTCCAATTTATGCCTCTTGGTTCCACAAAACGAAAACAAAAGAACCCTTGAAGGCAATTGCGTGACTTGGAAGTTTACTTTAATAAAAAATAAAGTAAATGAGGATTCTTCCATTTGTTTTTTATTCATAGTGTTTGGCCAGCAACAGAAAAAGCCATGTAACTGCTGGGAAGAATTGTGGTCTGCAATGAAGTGTGGTAGATGCACCAGATGTAGAAGGGCTCGGTGGATTAGGAACCGCACCATAAACAGTTGCACCATTAGAATTTGTTGTGTTTAATACTGATGAACTTGTGCTGCAATTTTATAACTGGTGAGATTTTTTCTACAAGTAATGTTTAAAAATGAAACCCAGATAGGAATTGAATTAGGAAAATTCACCTGGTGGATGGATACTGACATGTTCCAGAACCTGAAATTATAGTGAAGATAGATAAGATTTAAACAAAATTTAAATGATAAATCAGAGATTATAAGTCTTAGACACAGGGGTCTCCTCAATAACTTGGTCAAAATGGTAACATCAGTATGAGCTATTGAGCATAGTTGCAACGAAGAATACTCACTAGGGTTAGTGCTAGTACTAACGGCAGTTCCTCCAAAATTACAGCTACTTGGAATTGGATTCTTCTGATAATACTGATTGAATGCATAAGAAGCATGGTCACGAAGTGTGTTGGGATTGTAACAACTTCCACTGGGCTGGATTGCTGAACAATCAGCACCACCAACGCCACAGGCATAGTCCAAAGCAACTTGTAAGGCATTATATGACGCACTTTGGGTAGCGACACACCAGCTAGCGCCCGAAGATACTGGAGTTGTGGTAGGGGTGGTTGTGGCCGGAGTTATTCCAGGTGTCAGAGTCAGCGGCGAGGTTGTTTCCGGGGTTGAAGTGGGGTTTATAATTGGAGTTGATGAGGTGGGAGTAGTAGGAGTTATGGTGGGAGTGGGAACAGTTGTAATTGGTGTGGTAATATCCTTTTCAGTAGTGGATATAGAAGAACTGAATTGTTGTTGCCTTGCTTCAATATCTGACTGTGTTTTCCTGTCTGTTGCTGCTATACCTGGATTTAAAACAAATCAAGGAAAAAAGGGTGATTAATGTTGAACTTTTTAACACAACTATAGCATACAAACCTTGATTCAAACTGTCTTATGCAAAATAATTAATGTTTAATTCAAATTTTAAATGTGAACTGGATTAGTATTATTGACCATGCTTGCTTGTACATAAAATTAATATAGAAAGGTAGAGGGAATTGAATTTCTTCGACAAGAAGACAAATAAAGCATAGATTTAATAAAAATGTCTAATGAGGTAAGATATTTAACAGGTAATATGTATTAATTAACGACAAGAACCATGATTGGAAAATTGAAAAAACTACAACTAGTAGCAGCTAACTATTTGGTAATAGTAAAGAATTGGAATTCGCGTTAGGATAAAGTTAGAAAAAGAGAACCATACCCACATGGAAAAACAATCTAATTCTTGGTCCAACATGTAAAGTAACCAAACTTTGAATTAAACAACAAGGAATTGACGGAATTCTCGGGAGGTTAGCTTCATGTTCATGTTTCAATGAAAGAACTGGGGCAAGAAGAGAAAGAAAACTAAATTTGCCCAGAAAAAAAAAAAGGAAAAGAGAGAAGCAAGTTCAAATTCACCTGAACAGAGGAAGAGACAAAATAGTAGGTATAATTTTGGAATGAAAACTGGTCCTCCACCCATCAAAGCTTTCAACTTTGCTCGTTCAATTTGAAGTGTGCCTGCAATCTTGGTGTTAGGCTGCAATTAAGGAAGAGAATCTAAGAGAAATCTAGGAGAGAGAAAGGTGTGTAAAGAAGAAGATTTGGTGTGTAATATATATATAGAAATGGGAATGTAAATGTAAAGAAAGATAAGAGGAGGGAAAGAAGACATGGAGTGTGGGAAGGTGCAAGCAAGAGAAGGACTGAAGGAGGGAAAAAGGTTGAAAAAGAAGGAGAAATTTGTTTTGGAATTTAGGTGTACTAACTAGTAAGTGATGATTGTAATGATGACGGTGATGTATGCATTTTACTTTTTCTCTTCTTTTATTTATTTTTCTATATATAATATAAGACCTGTTGGCTCATATATTATACATATTGAAATTTACCAATAGGGTTGTGTTGTTTGGGTACCCAAAGAAGAAAAAAGATTTAAAGGGAAGAGAATCAGAAGGAAAAGAAAAAGAAGGAAACAAGGGTTGCAGTAGCATTACCACTCATCTTCATATCATCTTCTTTTCTCTTCTACTTGAGTGTGTTTTGTTTTGTTGTGATTGGAATAGGATTCATGTTTTGGCCTCCATGAACTGTGACTCTATTTACAACTACATAGTCCATGTAAAGAATGGTGAGGATAAGCTCCACCCTATACCAAAAAGCCCACAAATCACAATCACTACTATCTTTCTACAGGAATTGATCCATTTTTTTTTTTTTTTAATGGGGTGTTCGGTTAACCTGTACGCACCTCAACTAATCTTTTAAGGCCCTGGAGTTGATAGCCGGATAAATTCCCTTGGTAATCATCTCTATTAACAATCCGATAGATCGAATTCAAGACTTCTTAAATAATATACCCAAAAGTCTTAATTGATTGTTGGACCACTCAGTGGTGGTTTTTTTCCCTCTAATTACCTCATTATTGAAAAAACAAGATACAAAATTGCTTTCACTATAATAAAGAAATACAAAGTTTAAAATCAATCCACTGCTCCTAATAATAAACCCTTTTTACTCCACTGATTTTCTGCTAATATCATAAAATTATAAAGTTGAGTCTTCAATAATGAATATATTAATGAAAACCCACATGACAGGGGGCCATGGATAAAAGTAAAAGAAAACTAATGAAATTAGTCGTTTGAAGTGGAAATGAAGTGCAAAATTCCGCTGCACTTTTGACCAATTGGATACCTATTCATATATATTAAACTCCTACACCGTTTTAATTAATTAATGAAGGGGCAAATAAAGGCACTTCTTGATTGTTGACACCGCCGCATTATTTTAGTTTTAAATGAGAATGTATTTGACTAAGACTTGGAAGTATATCCAAAGGCCAATAATTGTTCTCTGTTCATATTTTGTTAATCTCATACCCGTTAACAAACTTCCACTTTTCATATTATGAACAAATCTTCCATGTGTCTATGGTCTAATGTAATCCCAATATCACTTTTCTTCATTCTACACATCATCTTCTACAAGACCAATCCTTTTTTTTTTTTTTCCTTTTCTTCTTTTGATTATTTCTACAGTCATCTTCCGTATCTCTTGTGCTTGCTTCAATTCTCATTGAATGTAAAAGTTTTCGAAATATGCAAATTAACTTAACAATGAAGGATCGGACAGAGAATCTCCAGTGGCAGGCATCTTTTAACTCTTTAATTTGCTTGCAACATACAGAAGCATTTGGTTGGAGGAAAATTTGAGAGAATGCTCTCCAATAATTCATAAAAACTAATCCTACAATAAATGCAAAGAAAGAAAGAAACCCTAATTTTATTTTATCAATTAAGATTCCTTTTCTTCCTCTTTTTCCTACACACACTAGGAATAAAGAGAGAGTATCTCCCGTCCATGTCCCTTATCTCTTAATTTTATGTACTTGTATATGCTTTCTTTTTCCATCTTTTTCTTTCCCACCAAACAAAATATTACCAATTTATTATTGTAGGAGGGGTCCTTCCGTTGCCGGTGATAGCACCAGCCACAGCCACCAAAGTTTAATCAGGTTCAAGCATATCCTTGTAGGTATTGTTGCACCTTTAATTAATACCCTATTCTTGACCATGATAGATAGAGTAGAAATGTTTTTTTTTTAATTCGTTAATCAAAAGGTTTTCTCTGAGTTAAAAGAATAAAATTTTAAAGTGCAAATTGGGTCATGACTCATGAGCAGAAAGATATACCACCGAACGTGAAATTCGTGATTTATCGTTCGTCCTTAGTTAATTTTATAAAAAACCTAATGGTAAAATACCATAAAACTCACAGTATGTTATATTGCAAATACTTAGTGGTCAATCAAAGTCAACCTGTTGCTCTTCGTTTCACATTCTGCTATTTTGTTTTCTCTTGACAAAAGGATAACACTCAGAGAAAATAAGAACCATAAGAAAAAAAATGGTAGCTTGTAGTTGTTGGTCACAAATTCTATCTCCATTACCAACCTCCATCACCAAATTTATCTCAGATCAACCACATCTATCAATGCTAGATAAGCATTGTGCCACCATGAAAGACCTTAGAAAGATCCATGCCCACCTCATCAAAACCGGCCTTGCCAAAAACCCTATTGTTGCTAGCCGTGTTTTGGCCTTTTGCACCTCATCAGCCGGTGACATCAATTATGCTTACTTACTCTTTACAAGAATGCAAAACCCGAATCTCTTCATCTGGAATACTATCATTCGAGGCTTCTCTCAGAGTTCAACTCCAGATTATGCTGTGTATCTTTTCATTGACATGTTGGTTAGTTCACGTGTGCAACCACAGAGGTTGACTTATCCTTCAGTTTTCAAGGCCTATGCTCAACTTGGTTTAGCCCATGATGGAGCTCAACTTCATGGTAGAGTTATAAAACAGGGTCTTAAATTTGATCAGTTTATTCGTAACACTATTATTTATATGTATGCCAATTGTGGATTTTTAAGTGAAGCAAAGAGGATGTTTAATGAGGAAGTGCAATTTGATTTAGTTGCCTGGAATTCAATGATCATAGGCCTCGCTAAATGTGGAGAAATTGACGAGTCTAGATATTTGTTTGATAAAATGGTGTCAAGAAATACAGTTTCTTGGAATTCTATGATTAGTGGGTATGTTAGGAATGGAAAATTTAAGAAAGCTTTGGAGCTTTTTCATGAAATGCAAGAGCAGAAAATTAATCCCACTGAGTTCACTATGGTCAGCTTGTTAAATGCTTGTGCTAAATTAGGAGCAATAAAACAAGGGGAATGGATTCATTTTTTCTTGAGGAAGAATAATTTTGAGTTGAATAGCATAGTTGTTACAGCAATTATAGACATGTATTGCAAGTGCGGTAGTCCTGATAAGGCTCTTCAAGTGTTTAAAACTGTCCCAAAGAAAGGATTATCCTGTTGGAACTCTATGATTTTGGGTCTAGCTATGAATGGCTATGCGAGTGAAGCAATGCAATTGTTCTCCAAGCTTGAATCTTCGAATCTAAAACCAGATTATGTTAGTTTCATTGGTGTACTAACAGCTTGTAATCACTCTGGTATGGTCGATAAAGCCAAGGATTATTTCCTGTTAATGACTGAAACATACAAGATTAAACCATCCATAAAGCATTATAGTTGTATGGTTGATGTACTAGGCAGAGCTGGACTGATTGAAGAGGCAGAGCAGCTAGTAAGAAGCATGCCTTTAAAACCGGATGCTATTATATGGGGTTCTATACTCTCAGCTTGTAGAAAGCGTGGAAACATAGAGTTGGCAAGACGAGCCGCGAAGAGTATAATTGAGTTGGATAAAAATGAAAGCAGTAGTTATGTGCTTATGTCTAATCTTTATGCTGCGTCCAATCAGTTTGAGGAAGCAATGGAGGAGAGGCTTCTGATGAAGGAAAATAAAATAGAGAAAGAACCAGGGTGTAGTTTGATAGAAGTGGATGGAGAAGTTCACGAGTTTGTAGCAGGTGGAAGACTGCATCCAAAAGCCCCAGAGATTTACCTTTTATTGAATCACTTGGGATTGCTTGTGCTAGAAATGGTGTAGTTTTTTCTAAATATGATGTCTGTGGTTCGTGCATATATGTTTGTGATTGTATTACCATACATGTATGAACTCATCAGAGTATGAAAAATTAGTCTTAAGGATGCACTTAAAATTGTACTCTTTGAAGTCTTAATACTTCCAGAACAAATGTTTATGGAATTGTACATAATCTGGTTACTTAATCGAAGCAATTAAAAATAATAATAAGCAATGCTTGACAGAAGCTTAACAGTAGTGATGAGATGACACCAGATTTGGAGGATATGAGAATGCAGTTCATGCATTGCTGCTAACCAATCTAGGTTTTTGACATGGTTCGCCCAGGTGCCCAAGAATAAATCTCAGGAGGCATAGTACCATTTGTAAGCAAGTTCTGTGGCATCCCATACAAATCGGAAATATCCAAGTGGTGATGACGACCATTTTGGTAATGCTGATTTTGCATGGCTGCAGCAACTTCATCATCATCTAATGGAAGACGATCAAAAGTAGCATTCATGAAAGAAGCAGCCATGACCACCACAGGGCCTGAAGCAATTAATGAACCAACCACAACCCCACCCACAACCTGTCCCTGAGCCCCTGCTAAGTAAATTGTTAGCCCCGTGATTCCTGGTGGGGCTGGTGGGGGAAGGATTGATCCCAGCAATGATAATATCTCAAACCGCCCATGAAGGGTAACAATGGCCCCGGCCGAAGCTGGTTGTCGGAGTGTAACATTTGTTACACAACCGGTCCCACTTAGTATGCAAATGCCACGTTGCTTCCTTCTTGCAAAGTTAGCCAAACTCTCACTAACATCACAACCTGAGCTCACCTCCATTGCATGTGCTCGAAGGGCATTGGCACTGTCTCTGGTGACGATAATCGGTGGCTTTGGCTTGTTTTTTGAGCCAGCTGGCCTACCACGTGGCCGCCTGGTAGTCTCCCCATCAGCTGCAGAAACTGGAGACACTGCCTTGGCTATTCTAGGAGGCATTAGCATCGCATCAATGCTTCCTGCTCTCTGGTGACTGCCCTTGTCTGTTTCTTGGTTTGTATCAATGGCAGTTTTGGTCACGACTGAAGGTACAGATAAATCTGGGCCGCCCACCATTCTTGTAGGTGCACTTGTTTGCTCAAAAAGACATGAAATTCATAGAAACTGTGCTCGGTGTGGGAGTTTAAGTAGTGCATTTGTGCCAATAAATTTATTGTGTGAACCAAAAAGAATGATTGAGAATTAGGAGATGGTTAAGTGAGACCAACCTTTCAATTAACAGTAGTTTAACGTATTCATTTCACAGCCTACCTCCTAACCGACCCTTCATGTTAATTGCCTTCCCCAACAGATACCCAAATCTAATATAAATATTCCTCATAATAAACCCTTCATGGTTTATGGTAAGAAAACTTAATTCCAACAATAATTCTTCAACTTTTCAATTATCATGTAAAATGGCAGTGTTCAATAACAATATTTTTTCATGTCACATAAGAAATGAAAATGGCCTTTCTAACACATATGCAAGAGTAAGACTGATTCATTACATGTAACATAAACCAGCTGGAATATCTTTGTTAATGCATTCTGTTCAACTATTCAATCAAAAGGCCTTTTTGCACAGTGAAAACTGAACAAGCAGGCTCCCTCTCTAAAATCATAAACATGCCCCAACATGAAACTAAAGAAAATACAATGCTGAGACATAGGGCAATGCCTCTCATTTCTATTTTAAGTATGTACAATGGGACATTGCCACACTCAAAATCATCATAAAAATTTTAACTGTAAAAACACCCCACCTGCTACTTCCAAAACAACTTAAGGAAAATCGAGAGATGTTAGTAGATGCACCGCTAAATTTGGTGCAATTGCTTAGTGCGGGGCTTGACCATCAATTACTACAAAATCACCAAGGTTTTGCAGCTGATGTTCTTGTGTAATCCGTCTGAGAGGGATACATATTAGGGTACCCTAGAGACTCATAATGGTGTGAAGCTGGCTGACCCTGTTGATATCCAGCATGCTGTGGATTCTGTCCAAGCAAGCTATAGCACGAACCGTCTTGAAGCAACATTGTTTGCGAACCAATACCAGAATCCCATGTAGAATGATTATTCTGGTATCATAAGAAAAAGAATGATTAGAATACAAAAGTTAAAGAGAAATAACAATAGAGCAATAAGCATATACCCAAAAAAAAAAAAAGGTAATGATATTTTTATCCTTTTAAATTGGCAAATATCAAAATATCAGCACAGAACCCTTTCAGTAATCTCAAATTATGTATTTCAATAATAAAGCATGCCCATCACTACCAACAAAACAATAACATAGAAGACATGGGGCTATATAAGCATTGTTTCTACCTGTTGAAAGCGTGTTGAATTATTTCCATCCCGATACTGATAGTGTAAAAGATCATTATAGCCAACTGCAGAACGCGTAGGGGAAGTGGACATGTTAAGCAAAAAATTTCCAGGAATGTTGTTAGTATTCCCAACAAAACTTCTATAAGCAGAAGTACTATCATTGGACAGAGGCAAGCTGCTCATAGTGGCACCATTTCTGTATTGTAAAAGATTGTAGTTCATTCCTGCCACAGAATCATGGTATGTACTGCTACCCTGATATGCTTGCTGCAAAGCAGATGGAACATATGTCTGGCTTTGAGGGATGGAAGGATAGCCAAACATGTTGGCTGATTCTCCCAAGGGAAGTGTAGGTTGAGAATAAGAACGCTCTGACAAGAGCTGCGGAGGTACAGCTCTATAGGCAAGGTTGGAACCAGGCAAAGTCTGTGAGGATTGTTGAGGTAAACAAAAGGTGCCTGAATTCAATACCTGCACAATTGCAATGCATAAACATGTCAATAATATATTTGTGATATACTCCTTATACCACAGCCTTACTAGAACAAGCATACCATAAGATGGACCAAACTCTGGGTGGAAATGAAGCATCAATAGGACAGGATGAAATTGAGAATCAAATATGATGACTTATGGAAGAAAAAGATAGAAATCTTAATCAGAAATCCTTGAAGAGAGATAATTCCACTACATAAAGACTATAGTTCAACTATAAAACATAACCACATCATCTAAAACCTTAATTACAATTTTGTACGTTCGAATATGAAAGTTTGAAAAAATATAAAAGATGAATAGAAAAGCATGAACATATCATAGAACATGGAAGTAAATCAACAACTATCCTCATTATTATTATTATTATTATTATTTTATATCAGAAATCATTCAACCTTCCCTATGTGTTCACTGAGCTCTAAATTGGGGACTGCTTCAGAGCTTAAAACCTCGGTAACCAAGAAGTTTGTACTGTGAGCAAGTAGTGGCCCCAAGGGGATTTGAACCATTGACCTCTTAGTTGAAATCAAGAGCTTTTACTACTAAGTCTTACTCCTGGGATTGACGACTAAATCAACAAATAATTGCCCAAACAGAAAGCATAAACAAGAATAGTAGATAATAAAGCACGCTAGGATACCAAAAAGAAAACATACAGAAGTGCACAAAGTTTATCAAGAGATGACAATGAACTTGGAATAAGTGTGAGCAATACCACTAAAACATATAGTTGCCAGGGTTTAACATCAATTTAGATTAAGCTTGATAATAGCCAATAAGAAAGAGTTACCAATAAAAGCAATGGGCAAATCCAAGTTGAAAGAGCAAAGTCTACACTACTTTAATGAAATAAGAAATATCTAAATCAGCCACCTTGAACTGTCATCAACTTAGGGTCAAACATTTTTGTTATCATCTGTCGTCAACCTAGTGTTTTGCTAATTTCACAAAATAGACATCATATACTTCAGATAGAGCAACTTAGTACATGACTAGGATAAAACATATATCTAGTCACCTTGAATTCCAAACAAATGCAATTGATAGAACATTTTCGCTGTATCCCTAGAATAAAAAAAGGGGGCAATCCCACCTCCAAGGCATAAGCAATAGGCAAACAATGATCAAAACAAAAGTGTCTCAGGATACCGTTCATTTAAATTAAGTCCACTAGCATCATAGAATCAAATAAGGAAGAACTTATATGAAATTGCAATGCTATACCATTTCACTCAGTGAAGTAGGAAGATTCCTTGCATTGGGGGTTATCACAAAAGATGACTTAGGACTCGATTGTTGAATGTTCTTGATGCTGGAATCTGGCACTGGCAATGGGGAAATATAGGGATGCCCACATGTTGCTTCAAGAGCATCTTGCGTCTTAACCTCTGCCGGAGAAGATACAAGTAATTCATAATTCCTTACATCTGCAGTTGTTGTTGGAATATCATACAAAAAACCAAGATGTTCATCAGCAAGGTATCCTGAATTTCTGCACAGAAAAGGATACAAATCTTATGAAACACCATCACCAAAGAATTATACACCGAAAAAAGAAAAAGAAAAAAAAAAAAATTCATGCCTGTCCCTGATATTCAAGTGCCCGGCAGATGAACCATCTATTGCTGCAGAGAACTCCAAGTTGCTTTTAAAAGGATTAGATGCAACCGGCTTGGGAGATGCAGAAGCAGCTCCAGATTTATAGGTACCAAAACTCAAATGTGAACAATCCGAAGAAAAGGCTTGCAGATAATTTGGAAGCACCACTGTACTGTTATTCTCTGGTGGAGGCATAGCAAGCTCCTCCTTGCCTATGTTTAGTTGCAGCAAATTTGCAGCAGCAGATGATACTGTTAATGTGATATTACCATTCACAGATGCAGCTCGATTTGGGAAAGGTAAATCTGAACTACTGGCCATTCCTAAAATTGAGGGAAAAAGAAAATGAACAAAAGTAAGGATTATTTAAACGAAACGAATATAAAGAAAAATAAATTTCTACATAGTCAGTTATTGGTGGTTTTTGAAATCTCATAAATTAATCCTAAAATTGCAATATTCCACTTATATATTATTTGATAAAGGCAAAATAACAAGTACTAACATCAATTTGAGAGCAATTATCAATCACCTTCTTGAGGCTTAGACATGTGCCAAAGTGAATCATGGGTAATTTTCTCCTGAAGCAAGTCATCATCAGATGCTCCTCCAGCACCATTTGCAAAAATCTGTCTAGTAGATGCTGAAGAAGACCCGTTGGCAGAATTTAGATTCTGGATATCAATATCCCTCTCAGATACTTGGACCTTATTTGGCTGGGAGTTTGTTGACAAGTCAGCCGTATCACCATACATGCAAGACTGATTAGCGTACACCTCTGTGTCTGGGTCAGCAGATGTGCATAAGGCAGATGATCCACTAGAAGATGTCAGATTCTCAATCACAGGCCATTCATTATCAACATCATGCTGATTGGCAGTCATGCCAGATTCATGGATCATCTCAGACAGATTAGAAAGATGTGGAGAATGTAGGTCTTGGTGCATCATTGATTCTGGAGGTGACGAAGTTTGTGGAGATTTGATGTGAGAATGAGATGAGTTAGTTGAAGCTGCAAGTTGAGGCATGCATGATATTTCAGTAGACATTTCTGAGCCTCTGTTTTCTTGCCTACCCCGCCGCACAATGTCAGCCATTGATAAATGTCCTTTAGAAACCCCTGGCCAAGCAGGCTGAAGCCCTAGAGACAGTTGTACAGATGAAGATATGGCATCACCTGTTCCTATTGACTGTCTTCTATTATCAGCATTAAAAAAATTGCTGCAACAAGGTTTATGAATAACTCAAATAATATAACCAAACATTTATTAAGAAACAAGATGGAACATAGTTAAAAGGGTGGAACATTCCTGCGGAATCAATTACTTACATATCATGGAACATCAAAGAGACAGAAAATAACAGATGGATGACTTAAATATGTAATAAATTGTTTTCTAACTCCAATACATTATGTGGAACTAGATGATGCAATGATCAAGTTGCCTGAACAGCATAGAGATCGGTTCTAATTACTCTTGATAAACTACAGCACAGGGAAATAAATTTATGTAATCCATGGTGGCAACAGCACATGCTCAGGAAAAAAGTCTTCCTCCCAAAAATCACTGACAAGCAAATGCCCTTGTGACAACTTTGCCATGCATATAACTTAAAAATTCCAAGGTTCCAAAAAAACTTAGAAGGCTCGAAATAGTTGACTTTTCCCTGCCACAAGATAATGATATCTTTACATAACTAACCTGAGAGTTGAAGGCTGCTCGTTTATATTCTTTCCTGTCGCACGATACACATAGGAAGGTGAAGAGGATACTAATGGTGCAGATGAACCAATCTCTCGCTTGTATGCAGCTTTACCAAGCTCTGCATACAAAAATACAAGTTCAAACGACAAGAATATGCAAAAAAAGACCCAATTCAACAAAACCTTTGAATGCACCAAAACAATGAACTTACCGTTACAATTGTTTTCAGTTGACGCAATATAAGAAACCCCGTCATTACCAAGTCTAGCTCCACGACTAGAAGTGCCACTGTTACATCGAGCCGCCCTTAATTCTTGAGTCTCCTTCATCTGAAAAATCAAAATATAAGAACAACTTTAAACCTGTACAAGTGAACCGGGATAGACTTAGCATATTGTCATGAACGAACCTCTTTTCTTCTTTCGCGTTTGCTCTTCACTTCATGGAAAGTATCTACACAACAAACAAATTATTAGAATAAAACAAACAAATTAAGATTATTAAAACCGCAAACACAAACATTAAAGAGTAAATAATAAAAAAATCCACTCACTGTTTGTCAGTTTTCCTGGCAACCAAACAAAATGTAGCAGAAATCTTTTTTTTTTTTTTTAAATTATTCGACCGTAAAAACGAAAACGATACAGAATTTTTTTATTTCATAGATATTAAAAAACCTTTTGTCACAAAAACTAACTGCAACAACAAAAAAAAAAAAGAAAAAAAGAAAAGAAACCTTGAGAGAGAAGGCGTTGAACGGCGTCGTCGGCGTCCATGTTGCAGTCCACAAGAACGGCGTAGATCTCACTATCCGTACAGTTCCTACCGACGACCTCTCTCAAATTCTGCACTATCTTTCTAATGTCCGGCGGCATCTCTACCGGCAAACCTCCGCCTCCGCCGCGTACATTACGACTGTTCTTGCTATTACTCTCCATCTTCCAAGTCTCAGGCTCTTGCGGCTCGCTCGCTCTCTCCTTTTGGCTTTTGGATTAAGCAGATCAATCGAACAAAACAAAACAAACAAACAAACAAAACCTATTCTCTCTCTCTTCTCTTTCTCGCTTTTTCTCTTTTACAAAACTATTTATAAAATTAAAAACCCCCGCACGCACAAGTAAAACCGTTTTGGACTCACAGACTGTTCAGTATTAAACCAGGAATCCTAGTATTAGTATATGGTAACTGTTATTGATGTTACTTTTTTATCACGCTCATCAAGTCAAGTGGGGTCCAGTGGAATATATATTTTCAACGGATGATGATGATAGAGTATATTAGTTGTGGTGGGCATGCATGTAGATGGTTTAAAGATAAAAGTGTCATGCGGGTGTCTTGTTATGGTCAGAGTACGGTACTTGTCAAATCGGATTTGATTTGGAGTAAGCGGTTTTTCTTTTTCTTACTTTATTCTTATCTTCTTAACAGAAACGTAATTTTAAAATTAATTACGAGTATTATTTAGATTATAATTTTGAAACAACCTATACTACTATGTGATCTATAATTAATTGATCAACCTTCGAATAATGCCTTTGATCTATGGTGTCAACATATTTCACTTTCAAATTGACTCATCAGTTTACTGCAGTTGACTTATTTTAGTATTTGGTGGGTTTGTTTATTATTACAGTATTATTTTTTTTGTTGTCATTATATTAATAAACAACAAAGACGGTTATCTGCATTTAGAGCTGGACATTTGAGATGGGTCTAAAAACCCAGTTCAAAAATCCGGTGCTAATAGATTTAGTCTCAAAACTATACCAGGCTTAAGGAGGAGGGTCCGGTCCCTCCACTGGCCCTCCTTCAAGGCTCAGGCTCAAACCCTTTTAATTTTTTCTTTTTAATCTCTTATATAATTACATAAAACATCTTATAAATTTTGAAATAAACATAAATTATAAAAGTTAAAAAAATTTTTTACAAAATTAAAAAAAACATTGTTTAACGGCAACCAACAATAATTTAAATAACCCCCAAATCTCTCATTTTTTTCACACCACTCAATCTCTCTACTCTCTACTCCAAATCTCCAATCAAATTCTCTTTCAATTTATATTTACATTTATAATTTATTCATATTATTTATTTATTTATATTATTCAATTTTTTCTATTTTTCAATATCATCTCTTATTCATATTATTATTTAATTTTTTTTTCATTTTAATTATTTATTATTTTATTATAAAGTCATAATGGATTCTCGAAATGATGTATTCGGAGAATCATCCTCAAATGAGTTTTATGTTCCATCCACCGAAGAAATTGAAAGGTTTAATCCATTTTCACCCTTTCCTCCAGAGGCAGCAATTGCAATTCCATAACCATATTCGGTCGGGGACGAGGTGTAGCCAAACACATGCGAGCTACGAGTCAACGGGCACGGGCATAGCCCAACACCCCCTCCCCCCCTCGATCGTCAAAGAGGGTCGTGTCTGATGTATGGCGACACTTCATCAAATCAAAACAACAAAAGACAGATAGGGAGGGGGAAGAATCGTGTAAGGTAAATAATTTTTGTGGAACCATTTTTGGTGATGAGAAAGGACTTCAACGATGCGACAACACTTGGAGAAGAAGCACCCCCGAATATTACAGTTGCCCGGTACATCTTCAACCGGATCAGGTAGGCAAATTCAAACTCAACTTAATTTTAATCCACAATCCTCAACTCTCTCAACATAGCAATACAATGCACATGTTGCACGAGAGAAAATAGCAAGATTCATAATTGTTACGGACTCTCCCATTTGTTTATCTGAAAATTCTTATTTTATTCACATGATTAAAATTGCATTTTGTCCAACATATACCCCTATTAGTAGAAGTCCAAGTATAAGAGATATACTAAAACTTTATAAAAAGATAAATAATAAACTTAAAAACGAATGTCAAAATTTTAAGAATATATCTATTGCACTTACATCAGACATATGGCTTGTAGATTAAAAACCGATTTTTTAACTGTCACAGTACATTTCTTAGATCATAATTGGGGCTTACAACAAAAATTGATGGGTTTTAAACCATTATATGAAAAACATAATGTTGACACTATTTATTTTACAATTCTTGAAGTTTTGTAAGAATATCTATTAACTAATAGAGTTATAGTGCTGACACTTGATAATGCAGCTGCTAACACCGCGACAGTCTCTTTATTTGAAAAGAGATTGGATCCGTGTGGTGAAAGCAAATTTTTTCACTAGAGATGTACTTGCCACATCATCAATTTGATTGTTAAAGCAGGTTTAGATGTTATACATTCGAAGATGGAGAGGGTGCGCGCGGCTATCGGATTTATCGTCGGCGATAGCAATAAAAGATGGCAGGAGTACGTCAAATATTATAGGCAAGAGGACCCACCTATTCGACCTTTGAAGTTATGTACGGACATGCCTATCCGTTGGAACTCCACCTACTTGATCTTGGAAAAAGTTTTGTCAACCGCAAAACAAATTACAGATTTCGTCAATCGGAAGAATCCGTAGGAAGTTGTCAGCTATGATGATTGGGCGGTTTGTAAACTTTTTTATTCATTTCTTAAAATGTTTTATGATTCTACTAATACATTAAGTGGTATTTATTATCCGACTACTAATTTAGTGTTAGATATCTTACTTCAAATTGCTAAAACTTTTGCTAAATATAGATATAATGACGTTTTAAGGGAAAGTGTTTCAAAGATGGAAGAAAAATACCAGAAATATTGGTTAGATATTTCATTCTTATATGGATTAGGCCTTGTTGTAGATCCTAGGTTTAAATTACACGTAGTTAACTGTATAATTACTGAGTTAGACCAGCATTTAGGACATGATTATACGTCTTATTTGACTGACTTTAAGCAAAAATTGGAAAGTCTTTTGTCTTTATATGAGAACATGTACAATGGAAGTGGAAGTGAAACGTTCAAGAGAGACGATCAGGACCCTGATGCAGACCTCCGTCAAGGATCGAGCAAGTGGACGTATATGGAACATGGTGGAAGTAGCAGCTCCAGCTCATACACACATGGACCAAATGAGCTGAATCGTTACTTACAAGTGGACCTATCCTACATGACGATGAAGGAGAAACGTGATATGAATATTCTTCAATGGTGGAACCAACATGAAAGTCGATTCCCTATTGTAGCCCAAATGACACTTGACATTTTATCTGTGCCGATTTCTACAATTGCATCCGAGTCAACATTTTCAATGAGTGGCCGAATTGTTGAAGACAGAAGATGTTCTTTAACCGATGAGATGATTGAAGTGATAACGTGTTTACGGGATTGGACTCATGCAGAAAGAAGACTACAACAGTACCCTGAAGATCCCGAACTACTCGAACTCTTTAGGAATATAAATTTGAATAATTTAAATATTGTTGACGATGAAGATGAATAATTTAATAAAAAATATTTATTTAATTGTTTATTTGTGAAACGTGAATGTGTGAATATTACATTTATGTTAAAATTAACTATTAATTAATTAATTAATTATTTTTTAAAATTAATTAAACTTTTAGAAACTTATTAATCTACCCCTAAAAATTACTAAAATCCCTTACAGAATTTCATTTCGCCCCTAAAATATAAAAAAGATAAGGGGGGAACAAGAAATTTTGCAGGCCCATAAGACTGGTCCGGGTCCTAAAATTACTCATGGGCCTAGGACCGGTCCTAGGCCCATAGCGACTGGTCCCAAATGGGCCTAGGCCCGGGCCTACTTGGGACCGGTCCTTGACCAGGTCTATCTGCATTTATTATTGATGAATATATTTATATTACGTAGATGATTGATCAATATTTATATGTCATGTCACTCAAATAAAATTATTATATTATGTTTATATTAAAATGGTAACAGTGATGATTATAGTATTCACCATAAAAATATACAGTAGTTACTCGTTTATTAATGCACCTGGTTATTAATCCTAGTTAGGCTTGACAAGTTTAATTTAAATTGTTTGAAACTCAAATGGCTTTTGTGTAAATACTAAGTGTTAATGTTTTTTTTTTTTTAATGATCGGAGTGTCCAAGCCAGCTTGCACGCTCCTCGACTAGTCTCCAAAACACTTTGAACACTCTACAAATCAAGGTTTTAAAACTCAGCCCGAACCGATCGGTTTAACTGGGATTAGAGCTTTCACCAAGCCAGATTACCAATTTCCACTGTTCATGGAAAACCCTAGAGAGGAGGACGACAACGACTGACGAGGAATTGGTGGTTGGGATGTTGGGGGTTTTGAAGATGAGGGTCAGTGAGTCTAAAGGTGGCGACGAAGGTGATTTCTGACGGGTAAAACTAGGGGTGATCGGGTTCGAGCACCCTAGGATTTTTGGAGGAACTGAAACCGGTTAGTTCTTGAAATTTAGAACTAGAACCAGAACCGACCGATTCTGGTTCCTCAATTGCTTTACAGGTTCCGGTTTTGAGTATCCTGGATAATTCATTGGTCCTTGTAATTTTACAAAATGACAAAAAAACCTGTAAAATTTACAAATAAACCCCATTTGTTTAAATATTCTATAACAATATAACTTTTTCCTTATTAATTAATTTCACTATTTCAAATAATTTTAATATATAGTGTAAGACTATATATTAAAATTGCTCATAGTTTCTTCATATCCAAAATCCAAAATGTTCAATGTATAGTCTATGATAAATTAAAATTGATTTGGGGATTTCATTGTTAGAGCATCTCCAAAAGACTCTTTATTTGACTTAAACTTTTTATTATAAAGAGTTTATTCATAAAAATAAGAGTCCAACATACTTTTTATTCTTTAAATATAAATTAAAGAATGGGTTTAACTCTTCATATCTAGAGAGTCAAATTTAACTCTCTATCATAATTTTAAATAATAAATTACAAGTTTTATGCATTTTATTTATTATTTATCTCTCCTATTAAGTTTCTTATTTGAAAAAACATATTCTTTCTCTTAAAATTTAAAGAGTCTATTAGATTTGAATAAAAATTTTGTTTTTTATATTTAAAAATTAATGAAGATGCTCTTTATTTATATGAAGGATGCTCTTTAAAATAAAGAGCACCATTGGAGATGCTCTTAAGTTTAGTTTAAAGGTAAAATTTATTAAAACCCCTCAATATTGTTAA